TTTTGAATATTTTGCGTGCGGTACAAAGGTCACAGACCCACAGCTGTCACTTGTATCAAAGGTCATCTTTGTATTGGCAAAGCATACACGTGCACATCTCATGACCAATTATCTTTCAGCCAATCGAAATATATCTTTGATGGCATCAAAACATGTAACCAATCATAATTCGGTTAAGCCAGTAAAATAGACAAAATACACCTGAAAGAGATCACTTGTTTCAAAGTCTTAAAAAAGTAATGTTCCAAAGCTACTGTAACATTTTCCCACCCACCCACCACTTCTCCTAAGGGATTACAGGAAACACCTATAGTGAACACTATCATGGAAGAACATTATTATTGGAGATCACTATTACTGGAAATCGCTACCAAAGGAGAACACTATTATTGGAGATAACACCATCACTGGAGTACACTGTCACGGTGCATGATGTATTATATCGTTATATATATAAATATATATATATATATATTATATGGTTACATTATATATGGTTACATTATATATATTATATATATATATATATATATATATATATATATATATATATATATATATATATATATATATATATATATATATATATATATATATATATATATATGGAATTGTATAAATATGTACAACCCGCACGATGTATGAAGTAATTAAATCTGGAGGTGTTCGTTACCATAGCATGGCTGAGCCAGGTGTAGGTTCTGTTGACAGACGCATGTGTACAAATTGCGTTAATGAGCAAGCTGATTTGATATTCTATAGCTCTCTAACCTCTAATATTAATATTTAAAAATGCAAATAGTTAAAATCTAACGATTACTAAATGAATATAGTGAAGTTAGCTGTCAACACTGATACCAATGGCAAAGGCTGCATATGCGCTATAGCGCGCCAAATTCAATTGCGCGAACGAGTATGGCTCAGACATGGTGCGTTTGTGTATTGCACGACCAAACTAACATCACACTCGATTTGTTTGCAACGAAGCGATATCATCGAGTATTTGTTAGAACTGTATGTTGATCCAAAGACAAATTGGTGCGCGTTCAGTGACTCTTTGCATGGCTACCAACCGAATCGAAACCAAGAACAGAATATTGCGTTCAAGAAATTGGCGGGAGATGTTCGAAACTCAAGCTCGAAGATGTTTACGGCAGCGATGGAAATCTCGCACCATTCAATTGATTGGATTCTGGTACAAGACAAAGAAGTGACGTACGTTGTTGCCGTCTCGACGTTTGGAATTTTAGCAATGGCTCTAACGGAAAAAATTGCTTAGCCAAGGGCCATTCACACATATCCAACGCATAGTTAGTACAATCGCAATTGACTGATATATATAAGCGCTATAGTTATACAACAGTCCTGAGAAATTACAACCATGGTCCAACGGCAACGTGTTGGTAAGTTGGTTTGACAAAAAATGGCAGCGAATTTGGTAAGACAGTTTATATAGTTACATTTATTTTACAATAATCATACGCATGTATTGCTATTTTTATGTTTATTCACTCTGTAATCCAAATCGGTTTCTGTATTCTGTGTCCTTCTCACACATATACCAATCCCAAATCCCTGCTGACGAGTCCATGAAGGACGAAACGCCGCAATAGTCCCTAAATGTTAGATCAAAAAGTATAGTGTGAAATATGATAATGTGATGGCCTCGTGTTGTTGGCACAATGTTCGGACTTGAAAACTCTAAAAGCAGCCTATGTTGTATTTGATGAAACTAAGGATATATAACAAATAATAAACAACTACTTGTTATTTGCATAAATGTGAACTTATAAGAAAATAAGTACATGTGTAGATTTATAAAACATAAAATTGGAGATGCGTGTATTAAAATTGTAACGGGCAAATATATCCTGTGCCGGCTGTGGTGCAAAAAATATGATCCGATCCTAAGGGTATGATCGCGCTGTACTAAAAAGCTTGTATTTGTTGTATGGAGCCGGGCATGTAAAAATAAACGCGAGAATTATTACTAGGACACCAATATGGTACTCAATATGCCGTACTCAGTCAACGTGTATAGATGATGTATTGATGTATAGCTACATGTATAACTATAAGTGAGCTATATTCAGCATTCACGGCTAACAAATTGGTTTTTATATTGCATGTATGGCATGCATGTATTGTGCTAGACCTTGGAATGAAAACAATATGCATATAGGTAAAACGATCTTTTGACATATTGTTATTGACACTACTGTATAACTATACCGTATATTTATGACTCGTGTTTTTTATGCGCATATATTCTCTCAGTATAGAAGCTCTTGTGTGCCAGAAATATGTGCCATATTTTGCTGGCAGGTTATGAAGATGTGCCATCTTTTCTTAACCAGTGGAATCTGTAGAGAATATACGCGTGTGAGGTTCTACTTAGTGAAAACTCTTGTGCCAGAAATATGTGCCATACTGTATTTTGCTGGCAGGTTATGAAGATGTGCCATCTTTTCTTAACCAGTGGAAGCTAATAGAACGTCCTCAAATGACTGATTAAAATGAGAACATATATAGAATTAATTTCACAGGTCAAAACAGTCTACAGTATGCCCATGCAATATATATGTGCCATTTTCAGCTCTGAATACTGTCTACTGACTTGAGAGGGTATATTTTGACTTGAGATATGTTATGTATGTATGTGTGTATGTAGCCTATATGTATGTTTTCTCAATTATTTCGTGTTGTCTAAAATATCATGCAATTCAAACCAAATCAGTCACACGCAGGACACAGCAGTCACTATAGCTACTACATGATAGATTTATGAAAACGTAAAGACTTAAGGAGTGCATGACATCATTATATTTAATTTATGTTCCATCTGAGTGTGATTTTATGCGCAAACTTTGCTGGTGACCTATACCTTCGATAAGCTGCAATCGTCTAAGAGCCATATTTTAAGAGCCGAGTAGTTATAGAATACAGTAGAGCTAGCTACTTCACATATCGTTAGACAATCGCAACGGGGTACACCGTACACCTGTGTTTTATTCTGCGAGCTATTTTAGTTGAATCAATTTTATAATATTTGGCCCCCTTGTGAACAAGCTTGTAATCAAATATCATCGCGTTAGGCATTAAAAATAATATTCAACTTCTCCCTCACATCAGTTTTCCTTGATTGATGACAGTCTATGGTGTTCTGCAGTTGCAGGCAAAGTGTTGGCGAGGCCTAAAATCACAGCGTGATCCGCACTATATTAGTGCGGTTCACGCTGTGATTTTTTTCGTGCGGGTTGTAATGTCAGTTCAGAATAGTCTATACAGCATTTCCAACTTTCATTCCAAGTAATTTAATTAAACAAAAGAGAAGCGCATTAGAACGATTAGTATATCAATAACACGGAAAGAAAGACAATAGCGCTATTCGAACATCAATAGACAACTTGCACGTTAGACTAATTTTTGATCTAGGAAAAAAGGTAAATTCCCGTAAAAAACTTATTAAAATTAGTAAAATTGCAAAATTTGGTAACGAAATGTTGTAAAATACGGAAAATATAGCCTTGCGAAGTTTGCATATTTTCAGTATATGTTTGTATTACGTGCGGAAATTGTTACCATATTTTTGAGCCGAAAATGGTAACAATAATTTCCGCACGTAACACAAATATACATTATATACTGAAAATATGCAAACTTCGTAAGGCTATATTTTCTGTATTTTGTAACATTTCACAACCAAATTTTGCAATTTTACTAATTTGATTATGTTCTTTTTAACTGTGGTGTTTGATTCCCTTCTTTTTACTTAGATTAAAATTTAGTCTAACATGCAAGTTGTCCATTGTGCTAGTAAGTACAGTAGGTTCAATAACAACACCCTATTATACAGGGTGTCCCCCCAAAAAACGAAAACTATTGAAATCACCAATAACAATTTAATTGTTAGAATCTGAATGCCTCAGCACTCTGTTGGTTCCCACGAGTGCATAAATGATTGACATGAGTAAATTTTATGCACTGAAGAAACTATTTAAGAAGAAGCTTAAATTCCCAAGAGCAAAAAATCGCGCACTTTACAAGGAGATGTTTTTGACTAAATTTTAATACATGCACCTTGTCAATATTTTACGCATCATTACGTTCAGCTTTTTGGTAGGGCATTCAATTTTAACAATAAGTGATTGCAATGGTTTTCGGGCTTTTTGGGACACCCTGTATATTCCGTAAAGTGAAAATCAATGGCGCGAAACAAAGATCAAATGCATGCACTTACAGTATAATAATCATTTACATTTTAAAACAACAATAGCGATAAATCAAAAGACACTTAACTACAACAAATATTCATGAATACTAGTAATGATTAACATTACATCTGCCCCCGTTTGATGATCTTTTTACCGACAACGAACACAGAAACCTTGTGATTAAGAACCGATAAAAGTACACATGCAATGATGTATGAGTGTATCATTAGTACTAGTATAATAAACACCAGTTGTTATGTCTTTCTAGTTCCAAATATATTCGAGTTGATTATATATTAATACCTGTCATATCACTTTAATCTGTACTGGGTAGCGGCAGTAAAACTTCATTTTAGCGATACTAACCTACTAGTAGGGTTGGGCGATTTTCGATATTTTGATTTATCGCGATATTTTCAATCGCGATTATCGTATCGAAGGTAGAAACTTGAGCGACGATATATCGAAATTATCGTCATGCTCGATGACTATCGTGATATTGCTTCGCATGTGCATATAGCTGTTATAAAATCCTAAAAAATTGAATCCTAGAAAATATAGTTTTTAAAAGAATTAAAACTATTTCCTGAATTAAATGCGAATTTAATACGATATAAAAGCTAACTGATGTTTATGTATTAATCTGCTGAACAATGAAATTGCAGGCTTTGCTTGCGCCGTGTGCCCACGGCGTTTGTGCCAGCCGAGACACAGTAGACACTGCATGGACAGTTCTGGTTTATGAATAGTAATTAAATATTAGACTAGAAAAAGCCTTAATATTACCTTAATTTGTTGTTTTACTTGTTCTTTTAATAAGATTATATATATAAGCATTGTTTTTGTTGCATTTATC